ATAGACTATTCTATGGACTAGTCTATAGACTATTCTATGGACTAATCTATAGACTATTCTATGGACTTGTCTATAGACTATTCTATGGACTAGTCTATAGACTATTCTATGGACTAGTCTATAGACTATTCTATGGACTAGTCTATAGACTATTCTATGGACTACTCTATAGACTATTCTATGGACTAGTCTATAGACTATTCTATGGACTAGTCTATAGACTATTCTATGGACTAGTCTATAGACTATTCTATGGACTAGTCTATAGACTATTCTATGGACTAGTCTATAGACTATTCTATGGACTAGTCTATAGACTATTCTATGGACTAGTCTATAGACTATTCTATGGACTAGTCTATATACTATTCTATGGACTAATTTTACGAATATTTTATGAAAAAGTCTCTCGGCTATTCTATGAACTAGTCAATAGACTAGTCGATAGACTATTCTATGGACTAGTCTATAGACTATTCTATAGGCTATTCTATGGACTAGTCTATAGGCTATTCTATGGACTAGTATATAGACTATTCTATGGACTAGTCTATAGACTATTCTATGGACTAGTCTATAGACTATTCTATGGACTAGTCTATAGACTATTCAATGGACTAGTCCGCAGACTATTCTATGGACTATTCTATTCACTAGTCTATAGATTATTCTATGGACTAGTCTATAGACTAATGAACTAGTCTACTGACTAGCCTATGGACTAAACTATTGATATGGACTAGTCTGTAGACTATGGACTATTCTAATGACTAGCCTGTAAACTAGTCTATTGACTAGCCCAGTGATTAGTCTATGGTTAGTATATTTGACTATTTTGTAGATCAGTATGTGGTTTATTGTATGTGCTAGTTTAAATATTTTGAGTTAGCACGCTTTTAAAGTGAATGGCTATTATGTACACACATATTTGCATGTGTTTTTGTGTTCTAACTAGAAACCTTGCATATTGAAATATATCACAATAGCAACAAACAGGAATGCATACATATTCGCATATAAGATTTGAATGAATGAATAAATGAACAAAATATTATCAGTTTGTTATTGAAATCTCTCAAAGGAAACAACGTCAAACTTTTTAATGTTATCAATACATACGGTGCACAGTGGGTGGGAATTTTGAAATAAAGAATTTATGATTTTAGTAAAACTGCAAAAGATACGAAGGGTTGTCGATTTGTTCCTTAGAAGTTGCATATATAGACCTATAGGGACAATGTGGAAAGTTATGTTCTTAGGATATATATAATCTTTTAAATTTACGTAGATTAACTTAAGAATTTCTAACCCTTCTTCCGAGTAGGTCCTAGAAGTTGAACAATTAAAGTTTTCGTTAACCATTTATGAATTCCTTATATATGTATTTCTAATTTTCAAAATCTCCCCACAGTGCAGCAGCAAAAGAGTTTATTTGAGTATATGCGTTACATTAACAACACACCATGTATAGTCAATGCATTTGTATTTTTATTCATAAATACATTTATGATTTTGGTTTAAAAACTTTTGCTTTTGTTTTCTAGTTTACGTTTTGTACAAAGAAAACTTTATTCATTTGTTTAGTTTCTAGTTATATACATATATTTTTTTGTATTCTACACCTACACACTCTAATATGTTTGAGTTAGTGATTTCTTTTCAAAGGTGAGTGAGAGCAAAAAAAGGCATAAAAAGGGTATAGTACGAAAATGCTGAATTTTATCGAACTAAATTTAAGATTATTAAATTTTTGGAAATCTTTAAATAAACAAAAACTATATAATACACAAGATTTGTACTTATACAATATTGCACTATGGGATAATATAAATTTATTAATGTTTAACTAGATGGTTCCTTTATAAATCGCCTTGAAACTTGTATCTATCTGTAATTGAGTCAATTAACTCTCAATTATGAAATAACCTTTACGATAAAGGCAGTTTAACCAACAACAATACAAAAAATAAACTTAAAACAATAATTCTATTTAACACTTTGCAAACTATACCTGTTGAGTATTGTGTGAAAATCTCATATAAACACTCTTCGAAAAAAAACAACAACAACAATTCAACCAACCACTTCGCCTCGACAGCTTCAACAACAAATAAAGTTAAAAAATTAAAAAAAACAACAACAACTACTATTTCTTTTTGTTGTTTTTAATACAATTGTTTCTCGTTATTGTCTGATTTTCATGATTTCATTATTAAACACAAGTTCTTAATTCAATTTAATATGGATGTGTGTGTGTGGTTTCTGGTTGTTTTACACAAAAATAAAATCTGTTAAAATTTATTGGTATTAAATGCAATTTAAAATTTTGAAAAAAAAAAGATTTCAATAAAATATTTTCATGAATCATGATCAAGAACCTAACATGACGTATGAGTTTTGTTTCCATTATTTATTGATCATACGTAGTGTGTAACTGGATAGAAACATCACCTTGTTAGAAAGGGTATTCAAAATTCAATACAATTGTCTTTTTTTTCAATTTCCTAGCGACATTTTGGGAACTCTCACATTAGGGGGTAAAAGAGGGAAAAAATAGGTAAATTCGTTAACTTTATATCTCCTAAAATAATACAAATTCCAAAAAATATTACACTTATTGTTGTTTATTTAAAAAAAAATAAGCGGACTAGCCTATGGATTAGCATATGGACTGGTCTATGAATTAGCCTATGTACTAGCCTATGGACTATTCTATGGACTAGTCTATGGTCTAGACTATTGACTAGCCTACAAACTAGCCTATGGACTAGTCTATTGACTAGCCTACTGACTAGTCTATTGACCAGCCTATAAACTAGACTGTTGATCAGCCAATGAACTAGTCTATTGACTATCCTATGGACTAGTCTATTGGCCAGCTTATGAACTAGTCTATTGATTAGGTCATGCACGAGTCTATTGATTAGCCTATGGACTAGTCTATTGACTAGCCTATGGACTTGTCTATTGACTAGCCTAAGAACTATTCTATTGACAAGTCTATTGGCTAGCCTACGGACTAGTCTATTGACTAGCCTATGGACTAGATTATTGATCAGCCAATGAACTAGTCTATTGACTAGCCAATGGACTAGTCTTTTGACTAGCCTACTGACTAGTCTATTGACCAGCCTATGAACTAGTCTATTGACTAGCCTATAGACTATTCTATTGACTAGCCTAAGAACTAATCTATTGACAATTCTATTGAGTAGCCTATGGACTAGTCTAGCCTATGAACTAGATTATTGAGCAGCCAATGAACTAGTCTATTGACTAGCCTATGGACTAGTCTTTTGACTAGCCTACTGACTAGTCTATTGACCAGCCTATGAACTAGTCTATTGACTAGCCTATGGACAAGGCTATTACTTAGTCTATTGACTGTTCTATTGGCTAGCGTATGGACTAATCTATTCACCAGCCTATGAACTATACTATTGATCAGCCAATGAACTAGTCTATTGACTAGTCTTTTGACTAGCCTACTGACTAGTCTTTTGACTAGCCTACTGACTAGTCTATTGACTAGCCTATGGACAAGTCTATTGACTAGCCTATGGACTAGTGTATTGACTAGCCTATGGACTAGTGTATTGACTAGCCTATGGACTAGTCTATTGAATAGCCTATGAACTAGTCTATTGACTAGCCTATGAACTAGTCTATTGGACTAATCTATGGACTAGTCTATGGACTAGTCTATGGACTAGTCTATGGACTAGTCTATGGACAAGTCTATGGTCTAGACTATTGACTGGCCTACAAACTAGTCTATTGACTAGCCTATGGACTAATCTATTGACCAGCCTATGAACTAGACTGTTGATCAACCTATGAACCAGTCTATTGACTAGCCTATGGACTAGTCTATTGGCGAGCCTATGAACTACTCTATTGATTAGGTTATGCACAAGTCTATTGACTAGCCTATGGACTAGTCTATTGACTATCCTATTGAGAAGCCTAGGAACTATTCTATTGACAAGTCTATTGACTAGCCTACAGACCAGTCTCTTGACTAGCCTATGGACTAGTGTGTGAAATAGTTTATGAACTAGTCTACTGACTAGCTTATGTAGGTTAGTCAACAGTCTAAGACTAACCTTCAAACAAGTCAATTGACTAGATAAAAATATTCAATAAAATATGTTCATGAATCATGATCAAGAACCTAACTTGACGTATGAGTGTTGTTTCAATTATTTATTGATCATACGCAATGTTATTTAGTATTGACTTAAATTGTACCTTTCACTTTAATAGAAAGGACCTAAATAAGTTTGGTACTTTTTGAAAATTTGCAAGTTTAATGTACTTATTTTTGGTACTTCGGATTCTTTTACCAAACCAAATTCGGCGGAATAATTTGGTACTTTTTTAGAACGTACTTATATGTAGTTGAACAACGAAAAAGTACCAGAAAGTCGCCATTTGTAGATTTTTCTTAAATCAAGACGCTGCATGTTTCTATGTTTCTAGATTTAATATCAAAAAGTACCAGTTGAAGAACAAAAAGTACCAAAAATTCACTCCCATAGATGCTCATTCCATCAGAATCTTTAATTTCAAAAAGTACTAGTTGGAGACAAAAAGTTAAATTCTGACTTATAGATTTTCAATCCATTAGGATTCTATATGTGTGATTATACATAAGTTTCTAGGTGCAATACTGCAGAAAAACCAAAAAGTACATGTTGAAGAACTAAAAAGTACCAAAAATTCTTTTATACAAATTTTTATTCACTCAGGACTTAAAAAGTACCTTTTTTTAATGAAATTTTCAAAGCTTTCTTCGGATTTTTGTTTATATCTCCACAGACAGACTGGCTTACATACAGACGGACTGGCATACAGATAGACGAACAGACATATTTGAATTTTTATAGGGATTATCAGCAACTGCTATTTAGGGGCCACCCTAATGCATAAGTTTTTTTTTTTTTTTTAATTATTTTAAACAAAAATAAAATAATTTCATTCAAACTTCAAGCAAATAATGAATTTCTGTTATATTTTTACAATATTTTGTGCCATTTTTATAATGGCTGTTATTTTTGTCAATTCCATCGAGGCATATGTAGCCGGGCTTTACAATAAAAGGATTACGTCTCAAGTAAAAACATTTCACCTTGAAGACCCGTTAAGTATAGAAAATTTGCAAAGTTCATCAATTTTTTTCACAGAAAATGAGAATCATGGTAAACGAAAGCGGCGTCAAACTATAGATGACATGTTGCGTAATATTCCCCAAACTATGGAGAATGAAAAAATGGATTTAGAATCTTTGTCAGCAGATTATGAAACAGATTGTGCTAAACCTGTTCGATTTCCGGAGGAAATTAAACAAACTTCGCAAATAGCAAATCAAATAAACATTCTGAAGCTGGAGCCTCAAAAATTATCTAGACAAGTTGCTGTTCTTAATCATGAGGCAAATCTGATGGAAAATTCTGAAGAGGAAAAGGAGAATAGTATTGAAAATAAAGAAGAATCGAAAATATCTGATAGTTATAAAGCAAAAGCTGGTGATAAAACTAATAGTAACTACAAATTTAAAAAGCTTTCGGCAGGAAAGAATGAATTTCGTAATCGAAATACAATGAATGATAAGTTAAACTTATATAAAAGTATTTTAAACGATGATCAATTGATAAGTGCCAAACAGACTGCCTGTTGTTCAAATTCCGATTTAAGCAGTTGTCAACAGTGCTCCCAACACATAGAAGGAGGAGCTTTAGCCAATCGTTATGTTAAAAATAAAAATGATTTGAAGTTGAATAAAAATCAGCCTTTGGAAATGGATAGTAAAACGAAATCAAAAGATTTAACTAAAAATTTTGAAAACAATAAGAAATTTAGTGAATCAACTTTTAAAAATCAAAAAGATGAGGACGAAGAAGATGACGCAGATGAGGAACAGGAAGATTTCAATCAACTTAAATATCCAGCAGCTGTTCTTAAAAATTCCAAACAAGCAGCACAAAACCTTAATATATCTTCTTATAACGACTTCTCTTCACCTAAGAAAAATTCCGAAACCAGCAATCTAAAAGATAAATCCTTAACATGGAACTCTTACCAACCCTTAAATGATGATCAGCTAGAAAATACCAAAAATAATCTTTCCCACGAAGCCAACTATAAACTCTCCAAAACTGAACAGGATGTTGCGGAAAAGAAAAAAGATTTTTCCTGGAAATGGGGTATATTCAAGAGATCACATCAATTTAATCCCATGAATGAGATCAAACTAAAGACCAGTAGTCGTCTGATGAAAAAAGGTTTTGGTGCCTCTTTGCCTAGTTACTCTCTGGGAGAGACACGCAAAGAGCTAATGATAGAAAATATGTTAAGGAAAAAGGAAAAGCTTTTATTGATGGAGAAACAAGGTAAATATGATGTGGATAATATGGGAAGTTTGAAGGAAGCATTTGGAGAGGATATTATGGAGCCTTATGATCAGTTAGATGAAGATTTTGTACATAAACCTTTGGAAGTGGATCTAGGTTCAATAGCGCAAAAATACCGCGTTTATAATAGACAGAAGAGAATAAGTGATGCAATCAAAAGATTTAAAAGACACACAAGAAGGGAAAATGTTAAGAAGTCAAATAAAAAGCTTTTGAAAGTTAAAGAGCCAAAAGCTAAAGATGACAATCCAAAGGATGTGCAAGCGTATACAAAAAACGGAACTGATATAAAGTATGCTAAAGGTAAGTCTGTCGAAAACAACACAAAAAGCTTTATCAAAGCTTTAAGTTCAAAAAATACATTTGCCAAACAGACAAGTGAAGACAGATCATTGGAGCTTTTGAAACAATTAAATAAATTCGATTTTAAATTATACAATTTACAAGCTTTAAGCTCTTTACCAAATGAAAAAGCTAATATTGACAAAATTCCATTTTCCCAACCATTACAAAGAAGAAAACGTTCTTTACAACTAGAGACATCTTCAAAAGCTTTTAGCACTAATGAAACTAAAAAGCTCTTTTCAAATACAACTAAGAAATCTAAAAGTACATCTACTACTTTTAAGCTTGCCAAACGCTATAATACCTTAAAGGCTTTACATTCAACAAATAATAAACATTTTACAAAGCACCAAGCTTTTGATGTTAATAATCATAAAAAGCTTTTAAAGCATACAACTAAAATAACAGAAGACGATATAAAAGAAAATAAGTTAGTACAAGATCTTAAGTACGACCTTATCAAAGGACAAGTTAAAAAATTATGCCAAAAAGCTTTAAAAAAGCCGTTAAAAGCTTTTGCTAAGAATACTTTGTCAAAAGATCTCAGTAATACTGAGATTCTAAGACATTCACTTAATAAAATATACAAAGCTTTTAATACAAATAACAAAACTGCAAAAGTCTTTAACAAATCAAAAGCTCAAGTTCAAAGAAATGGTTTTCAAGATTTTGAAAACGATAAAAAGTTTGGGGAAAGTTTCAACATATATCCAACAAATTTTACCAAAAGCTTTCCTACATTTTTATTAAGGAAAGTTAACAAAAATAAAAGCTTTTCTCAAAAGCTTTTAAACCAAAAACAATTAAATTTTGTGAAAAATATTCATAATATGTCTTCAATTAAGGACAATAGTTTAGGGAAATGTCCTGCTAATGATTTAAAAGCTTTTAGAGAAACAAACCAAAGCTTCACAGTGGAAAAAGCTGAAAATGCTAATATTACGAAAAAAAGCTTTTATAAAGGCAAAACTGATTTAACAGTAATGGGAGAGAAAAACTTGTATGTTAACAATAGCAACGAAAGCTTTCATAATAAAGACCAAGAAAACTTGAATACGTATCAAAAAAGTTTGTTAAAGAAAAGCTTGAAAAAAAGCTTTAAAACTAAATTAAGTTTCAAAACAGCTGTTACCAACGACATTAAAGACTTAAACAGAGAAATCCAGCTAAACGAGTCCACGAAATCTGATAAAAGCTTTAAACGTTTAAAACGTTCTTTAAAATCAAATCCCGAAGAAAATGGCATAAAATCTGAAACAAACAAAAATTACCGTAATAGAAAATATACTTCTTACTATGATGATTTATATAAACCACAATTCAATTTGGATTATGCTAACACAAAGCTTTTAAAATCAAATGCAGAAAATGAATTCTTGAGTTCACGAGAACTTTTCAAAAATGAAGAATTACAAAGAAATCTAAATAAAGATTTCGATTTTACATTTAATAGAGAAAAATTTGATAATTTAAATGACAAGTCGTTGCCATTGCAAAAGTTTGGCGATATAAATTACAATAATTTGTGGCAAAAGGATGAACCACACAAAAGTGAAAAACGTTTAATAAAAAAATCTACAAATCGAAGAAATAATGCTAAACATCGTCACCAAAAAGCTCATTTTAAAAGACAAAATTTAGCTTTTAACAACAACAATATCACCGATATCACAGCTAAACTAAAATTAGATGATTTCCCAAGGAAAGTTCAATTGTTAAAAGATAAATATTTAAATGATTTACAAAATTTTAATAAAAATTATAAATTTAATGAAAATCATTTCACTTGGCCGCAAACAAATTTCAAAAACTATATTGATCCAAAAGACAATTCCACGGATATTTTGACAACTACAGATGATTCTAAAAATCTAACATTAGAATTGCGTAATGAGATTTTAAATTGTAAAGCTTTTGCCAGTTTAGAAGATTTTCTAAAGTCTTTACCGCAAAACATAACCAATTCCCTACTTAATCCCAAAACCGAAACTAGTTTGTATACTAGCACCGAAAAAATTGTAATGGATATAGATACTCAAGTCATAACAGAAACTACAACCATTTCACCGCCTACAGTTTTAGACTCAACTATAATTTGTACAACCACTGAAGAACTAGAAACTACTACAGAAACCACTGAAGATAAAACCCAGCCCACTGAAGTCGATTATGAGCAAATAACGGAATGCAGTTCGGATGAGGATTTAAATGAAACTTCCACAGAAGCTGTCTCGGAATCTGTAACTGAGGAGGATTTGACACCTACAACCTGTACGGCTGACAACGATGTCAAATTAAATATTTCCATTAATGCTAATGTACATGGCAATCTCCAGGCAAATCATTTCTGTGGTAATGGTTCATTTAATATTATACCCGGTTTGAAGGATGATCGCCTTAGACGTGGAACTTTTAGTGGTCCTTTGGAAAGTTTTCAAAAGAGAAAATGTGATGAAATACCAACCCAAAAGCCATAGTAAGTATTTCAATTAAATTTAAGTATTTTCTTTTAAAAGCTTTATCTAAAAGTCTCTCCTAGAAAGCTTTTATATTAGAAATATTGTTATATACAAATGTATGTAAATACAAAATTATTTCAAATAAAAAGCTTGAAAAAAAAGTTCATATAAAAAGTTTTCATGTAAAAAAAGTTTTTGTATAAAAGTTTTCATAAAGCTCTCTATATAAAAAGATTTCTTAAAAGGCTTTAATCTAAAAAGTAAAAATGTTAATATAAAATGCTTTCACAGTTACATAAGGAGCTTTAATATAAAAATATTCACATAAAAGCTTTAATATAAATAACGTTCATATACAAGTTTTAATATAAAAAGCTTTCATACAAAAGCTTTAATTAAAAAGGATTTCATACTAAAGCTTTTATATAAAAATATTTATTAAACAGCTTTTATATATAATTACTTATAAAGCTTTATGATAAAGAAGTTTCTTAAAAAGCTTTAATACAAAAAGCTTTTAAAAACTTTTATATAAAAAAGCTTCTTTAAAAAGTTTTTATACAAAAATATTTCTTAGAAAAAAAATTGTATATTCAAGCTTTTTTATAAAGACTTTTATATAAAAAAGTTTTCACAAAAAGCTTTCATACAAAAGCTTTAATTAAAAAGGATTTCATACTAAAGTTTTTATATTAAAGCTTTTATAGAAAAATGTTTATTAAACAGCTTTTATATATAATTCGAAATATAAAGCTTTAATATGAAGAAGTTTCTTAAAAAGCTTTAATACAAAAAGTTTTTTTAAAGAAGTTTTTATTCAAAAATATTTCATAGAAAAAACTTGTAAATTCAAGTTTTCTTATAAAGCCTTTTTTTTTTAAATCTATGTTAAAAAGTTTTTTTTACAAAAAAATTATATAAATAAAAATTTTATGAAAAACTTTTTAAAAAAACTTTCTTCTAAAAATTTTTAGCGCTTTCTTGAATCACTTTTTTATAAAAAAGCTTTCTTAAAGGAGTTTTCTTGGAAGTCTTTCAAGAAGGCTTTTTTATAAAAAAGGTCTTTTGAATGACTTCTTTATAAAAAGCTTTCTTAAAACATTTTTTTAAAAAAGTTTTACTTAACATATTTTATATACAAAGCACTTTGCAAAAAAGCTTCTCATAAGTTTAAAAAAAAGAATTAAAAAGTTTTTATGAGAAAAAGCTCTCTTGAAACATTTTTTAAAAGCTTTTTTGAACACTTTTTTATTAAAAGTTTTCTTTAAGAGCTTTGATATAAAAATAAAAAAAGCTTATTGAAAGAGCTTTTATATGAAAAGCTTTATTAAACAGCTTTAATAAAAAACATTTACCCAAAATCGTTATTAAAATAGCTTTTAAATGCAAATATTTTTTAAGAGCTTTTACATAAATTTTTTTTATAGAATTTTAAATAAAACTATTTACTAGAAAATGCTTTCATATAAAAAGCTTTTATATTGAAAACTGTTATATAAAATACTTAAATAAAAAGTCTTCTTTAATATACTTTGAAATGAAAAGCTTTTTGAAAGGCGTTTCTATATGAAGTTTTTCTATATCGATTTCCTAAAAAAACTTATTTTTTTAATGAATTGTTATACATATACACAAAAAGCTTTTTCAGAATTGTTTATAAAAGTTTATATAAGAAAAGCTTTTACATTTTTTTACTTTCTCGAGAATTTATTAAATGTTTGATTTTTTCAATTAAAATCTTCTGTTACAGCGATACCGAGGACAATCATGATATTAATGACTTAATGTCCGGTAAATATTCAAATAATGTTGTCAAAAACATATTTAAAACTGTTCAAGAAAGTCCCGACTTAAAAGCTTTATGGCCCAGTTTAAAACGTAATCAACCAGGAGAAACCACTACAGAATCAAACTTTTTTGCCATAAGAAACGAGGTATTTTACCATAAAAAATTACTTAATAAATAAATAAAATAAAAATATTTCTTTCTTTAATAGCAAAATGAAAATGTTTTACAAAACTCCGAAAAGCTTTTGGCTCAGGTAATGTCCTCCATTAATACAATTATCGAGTCTCAAGCTAGATCTCATGCTTGTGTGCCATTAAGACCCGATTTACAAGAATTCTATAATATGATATTACAATCTCGACGAGAACAGGATATGGTAAGAGAAAAACGCCAACTTAAACGTTTACACAAAAGAGAAGATTTCAGTTATAAGACTAATTTAATAGATCCCAATGAAATTGAACAAGAAACGAGATTAGTAAAAAAGTTGCTAAAACAATATGAAGAACAACAGTCAAGGGAGAATCAAATGCAGGAGAAAGCTGTTAAAGAGGAACTGCTTGAGAATTTATCGATTTTACAACAGCTGCAGGATAATGAAAAGAGGCAAAGGCGTAAATCGAAAGCAAATTTAAGTGATAATAAGTTAGCAAAGGAGCACTATAGTGGTGAATTTTTGAAATTGTTAAAAGCTGCTGAGTTTTATAAGGATATCTCGAGGGACTGAGAAAATTGCTAATTTAAACTTTAGTTTAATTATTGTTTATATATTTTAAGCTTTTGCTATTTATTAAAGATTTTATAAAGAAATTTCACTTTATTTTTTATTTTATTTATAAAAAATTAATTAATTGTTAAGGATATATAAAAATATATTTTTTAATTTCAGAGATTGGAGACACTTATAGGGTTGTATTTTTTTAATATTCAGCTTGATTTGACAAAGTGTGCAAAAAATAAAATACTTTTTGCAAACAAATTGTTCAAGATTTCGATAAAAAATATTTGATTCAAAAACTCCCTCTTTAAAGGGCATCATCTTCATATTAATGTGCTTTCTGTAGAGATATGAATAAACACAATAAAATTATAATATTTCTACACATAAATAAACAATACCTATGACATGTTTTGCTACATAAACAAAATATTTATCCTGATTCATAATAAAGGCAAACTCTATCCCATTCCACCCTCAGTAAACAATTTAATCCCCTACTCCTACTCGTATCAATATAATTTGAACTTTTTAAACTTTTCAGATTCATATTCAAACGCACACACACACACATACACACACATGTTGAAATCATAAAAATGTGATTTTTGTTTTGTTCTTGTTTTATGTGATTTTAACTAAATGAAAAATCTAATGTGAGAAGTGAAAAACTTTTGCCATTCAATGAAAAATTTACAATTGCTGGCAGATCCTTGCTTCTGCTTTTAGTCAGCGTGTGTTTCATAATTTTTGTTTGTTTCAAAGAATATTGCATTAAAACAATATTACATAAGTATTAAAACCGTTTAAATAAATTAAGTTTTAACTAGAGGGGGAAAAAAGAGATTTGTTGAAATGTGTACTAAATAAGGTTGATATGAAGAAAGGGTGTAGGTCATGGAAAAAGTAACATTTTGACTACAAATATTAAGGAGTTTGGTAGAGAGTTTCAAAAGTACAAACCTAAAGCTGTTTAAACTAACTAACTAACTAACTAACTAACTAACTAACTAACTACTAACTAACTAACTAACTAACTAACTAACTAACTAACTAACTAACTAACTAACTACTAACTAACTACTAACTAACTAACTAACTAACTAACTAACTAACTAACTAACTAACTAACTAACTAACTAACTAACTAACTAACTACTAACTAACTAACTAACTAACTAACTACTAACTAACTAACTAACTAACTAACTAACTAACTAACTAACTACTAACTAACTAACTAACTAACTAACTAACTAACTAACTAACTAACTAACTAACTAACTAACTAACTAACTAACTAACTAACTAACTAACTAACTACTAACTAACTAACTAACTAACTACTAACTAACTAACTAACTAACTAACTACTAACTAACTAACTAACTAACTAACTAACTAACTAACTAACTAACTACTAACTAACTAACTAACTACTAACTAACTACTAACTAACTAACTAACTAACTAACTAACTACTAACTAACTAACTAACTAACTAACTAACTAACTAACTAACTAACTAACTAACTAACTAACTAACTAACTAACTAACTAACTAACTAACTAACTAACTAACTAACTACTAACTAACTAACTAACTAACTAACTAACTAACTAACTAACTAACTAACTAACTAACTAACTACTAACTAACTAACTAACTAACTAACTAACTAACTAACTAACTAACTAACTAACTAACTAACTAACTAACTAACTAACTAACTAACTAACTAACTAACTAACTAACTAACTAACTAACTAACTAACTAACTAACTAACTAACTAACTAACTAACTAACTAACTAACTAACTAACTAACTAACTAACTAACTAACTAACTAACTAACTAACTAACTAACTAACTAACTAACTAACTAACTAACTAACTAACTACTAACTAACTAACTAACTAACTAACTAACTAACTAACTAACTAACTAACTAACTAACTAACTAACTAACTAACTAACTAACTAACTAACTAACTAACTAACTAACTAACTAACTAACTAACTAACTAACTAACTAACTAACTAACTAACTAACTAACTAACTAACTAACTAACTAACTAACTAACTAACTAACTAACTAACTAACTAACTAACTAACTAACTAACTAACTACTAACTAACTAACTAACTAACTAACTAACTAACTAACTAACTACTAACTAACTAACTAACTAACTAACTAACTAACTAACTAACTAACTAACTAACTAACTAACTACTAACTAACTAACTAACTAACTAACTAACTAACTAACTAACTAACTAACTAACTAACTAACTAACTAACTAACTAACTAACTAACTAACTAACTAACTAACTAACTAACTAACTAACTAACTAACTAACTAACTAACTAACTAACTAACTACTAACTAACTACTACTAACTAACTAACTAACTAACTAACTAACTAACTAACTACTAACTAACTAACTAACTAACTACTAACTAACTAACTACTAACTAACTAACTAACTAACTAACTAACTAACTAACTAACTAACTAACTAACTACTAACTAACTAACTAACTAACTAACTAACTAACTAACTAACTAACTAACTAACAAACAAACTAACTAACTAACTAACTAACTAACTAACTTTCTAGTCAAAGAAAGTTTTATATCCCAAAAACATCTCTAATAAAACTTTATTAACATGTTTTTTTCTATAAGAATTTTTTAAATAAAGTTTTATGCAGAAAGTTTTTGCCACAGAAACTTTTTCGAAGAAAAATTCTTTTTAAAAAGAGCTTTTCGAAGAAAGTTTCCTCTTCTATCTTTTGTTCAAAAAAAGATTTTGCTACAGAAGTTTTTTCGATGAAAGTTTTCTATTTAGAAAACTATTTAAAGGAAGTTTCCTGTTAAGAAATTTATTAAAAAAAAATTTCTCTATAAAAAAAATTTAAAATAAAGTTTTCTCTTCTATTCTTTTCAAAGAAAGTTTTATCCAAAAAACGGTTCGAATAAAACTTCTTCTTCTTCTTTTCAAAGAAAGTTTTTGCTATAGAAACTCTTTCGATTAAAGTTTTCTTTATTCTTTTCCAAAAAAGTTTTCATTCGTATAAAGCTTTTACTTCAATTTATTTTAAATAAATCTTTTTCTTCGAATGATTTTGCTACAGAAAGTTTTTCGAGACTTTTTCTATAGAATACCATTCAATGCAAATTTTCTCTATAAAAAGTTTTCTCTAAGGAAATTTTAAATACAATGATTTATTAAAACTTGTACAGACTTTTATTTAGAAAAACTTCTTTGTTCAAAAACAATTATCAATCTACTCTCGTTGAAATATTCCATTAGTTTTTTTTTCTGTTACAAAACTTTTACAATGAATATGTTCATTTTATCATGCTTTTTAAAATACAGCCGCTCTGTGATTTCATAATTATAATTATTACTATATGAACTTTATTACATAATATTTAACACCCTTTATACTTTTTCTCGAACCCCCACCCCCGTTTTCACTAAATTGTACATTGTATAATCATTTATACAAATACTAACGAGTTTTAAGAATTTTTCATATTTATTAAATACGAATATTTTGTAGTTGAATTTATGATTATTTGTTGTAACATTTTGCTTATGAATGAATTGTTATTGTTTTAGATTCATTTAATTGTTTTTCATTTAGCAAAAGATAAACTTTTACTCAACGAAATGCGAAATGTTTTTAATAAATTAAAACTGTTTCTATGATGGTATTAATGGAAAATTATTTATGTAAATTGAAATATTTTGTAGCAGTTAGAATTTAGGATTTTATTTCTGAAACATTAAAATTTTACTTGGGAAAATGATTTAGTTTAATGTGGGATAAATATTTTAAAATATTTAATACATTGCATAGCTCTGGAAAAAATAGGTTAGAGATATTATAAACAAAAATAGAAATTGTAGTCAGCAATTCAGTCCCTATATATGAGCATAGGTCAATTCTATTACAGCTCAGTTCTAATTCAGTTCTAGTTCAGTTCTAGTTCAGTTCTAGTTCAGTTCTAGTTCAGTTTTAGTTCAGTTCTAGTTCAGTTCTAGTTCAGTTCTAGTTCAGTTCTAGTTCAGTTCTAGTTCAGTTTTAGTTCAGTTCTAGTTCAGTTCTAGTTCAGTTCTAGTTCAGTTCTAGTTCAGCTCTAGTTCAGTCTCTAGTTCAGTTCTAGTTCAGTTCTAGTTCAGTTCTAGTTCAGTTCTAGTTCAGTTCTAGTTCAGTTCTAGTTCAGTTCTAGTTCAGTTCTAGTTCAGTTCTAGTTCAGTTCTAGTTCAGTTCTAGTTCAGTTCTAGTTCAGTCTAGTTCAGTTCTAGTTCAGTTCTAGTTCAGTTCTAGTTCAGTTCTAGTTCAGTTCTAGTTCAGTTCTAGTTCAGTTCTAGTTTCAGTTCTAGTTCAGTTTCTGTTCAGTTCTAGTTCAGTTCTAGTTCAGTTCTAGTTCAGTTCTAGTTCAGTTCTAGTTCAGTCAAGTTCAGTTCTAGTTCATTCGAGTTCATTTCTGATTCCAGTTCTAGTTCAGTTCTAGTTCAGTTCTAGTTCAGTTCTAGTTCAGTTCTAGTTCAGTTCTAGTTCAGTTCTAGTTCAGTTCTAGTTCAGTTCTAGTTCAGTTCTAGTTCAGTTCAGTTCTCGTTCAGTTCTAGTTCAGTTCTAGTTCAGTTCTAGTTCAGTTCTAGTTCAGTTCTAGTTCAGTTCTAGTTCAGTTCTAGTTCAGTTCTAGTTCAGTTCTAGTTCAGTTCTAGTTCAGTTCTAGTTCAGTTCTAGTTCAGTTCTAGTTCAGTTCTAGTTCAGTTCTAGTTCAGTTCTAGTTCAGTTCTAGTTCAGTTCTAGTTCAGTTCTAGTTCAGTTCTAGTTCAGTTCTAGTTCAGTTCTAGTTCAGTTCTAGTTCAGTTCTAGTTCAGTTCTAGTTCAGTTCTAGTTCAGTTCTAGTTCAGTTCTAGTTCAGTTCTAGTTCAGTTCTAGTTCAGTTCTAGTTCAGTTCTAGTTCAGTTCTAGTTCAGTTCTAGTTCAGTTCTAGTTCAGTTCTAGTTCAGTTCAGTTCAGTTCTAGTTCAGTTCAGTTCTAGTT